TGTGTGTGTGTGTGTGTGTGTGTGTGTGTGTGTATGTGTGTCTGTGTCTGTGTCTGTGTGTGTGTGGTGAGGTACCTAGGTAAGAATTTGGTGTATGTGGTATTGGCAGAAGGGTGGGGGTGTGCCTAATAAGCTGAAATGATAGACCATAAGTTTCATACTGATTGGTAAGAAGGTGAATGTACAGAAGTCTGTCTACAGGGCAGGGAGAAAGTCAACAAGCCAAATAGAGGAGCTTTAAATGGGATCAGAGAACAGATCTCCCTTAAAACAGAATTTAGGAAACAGCCGAGAACAGTCAGAAGAGTCAGGGAGTGGTGAGCATAGAATATTAGCACTTCTGAATGGAAGTTTTCAGAGAAAAGGGCCCCCTCCAGAAAAACAAAACTGAGCAGAGGTAGCAGCTTGTCATAGGACTATTTCATCTGCAAGCCCAAACCCACATCAAATGGGCCACATTACACAGTGCCATGGGGGAATCTTTACAACCCAACAAGTTTAGGGCTGCCTTTTGCTCTGCAGGGTGTTGATTTGATGGTACCATGACAGTCTTCATCTGACCACTGCCTCTCATGGAAGGTCAGATGCAGCTCACAGTGGTGAGAAAGTCGGGGCATCCTACAGATAGAGTCCGTTACAGGGGGGCAGATCAATGGTAAGGTCAATTAGGAGAATGATCATGGGAGGGGATGCCCCCATGGATGCCCCCATTCCTAACCTACCTGCTTACTATCTGTTTAAGTCTAGGAACACTATTTAATTTTTAAAATCGTTGCTCCATACAGGAGGGAAGATGGTAAGTGCTCTGTGGGGTTGGTGTGAAGATTAAATGATAGAATTAAACGACAAAATTAAATTATATCATTATAAACACATTTAGCAAAATGCCGTGCATGTAGTAATGGCTCAATAAACGGCACTTAGATTAATGATAGTACTGCTATGTGTAAGTTGGAAGCCAAACGGAGATATATATCTTCTATCCACACTGTGCTAGCATGTGCCACTGTCAGCTTAGACCAGTCCCACACATCTTCTACCTGCCCCGTGCCTGCTCCAGCTACAACTCCTACAGTGTGAATGCATCAACTCAAAAACGTGTCTGCACCTAGTCTGAAAGCCGCACATGCCTCTGCAGTCATGCTTCTGTCAGGGAAAGGGCTTCTCTTCCAGACCACAAAGGCTTCACTCAACTGGCCGAGTGCTCAAGAGACCCAACTGGCAACATGAAAAACAGGCACGTCCTTGGCCTCAGCAGCTTGTGTGACCAGAGAGATCAGTCCCAGCACTGTGTTCTCTAACTGGAGAAGCAGGCTCGCCACAGATGTGTGGCAAGCCTTGGGTGGTGAGTCCACATCAAGGACCTAGTTATCAATTATTCTAATTGTTATTCCTCACCATGGCCAGCACCGCCAGGCTTTAAAGTAGTTTCCATCCTCCAGATCTATAAACTTGCCCTTGGCTTATTGAGCCGACCACGCTCATTTAACAGAAGGGATTTTAATTACTCAACAGGAACTTCAGAAAAGGGAAAGTGAGGAGAATATGTGGCTATGATCAGTTTTTAACCAAGGGGCCCAGCATTTTTCTTTCTCAGGGGCAAGGCCGTTAATGAAGGCCCCACCTACCACAGGGCTCCCACCCACTCATAGCACAAGAGATCCCACACTGAGAAATCAGATTTAAGAAAGCAATAAAAGGCCTTAAGTCTCTAAACAACCTCTGTGTTAACCACCTCAAAAGCAGAAAACCCCTTTTCCTTTGATCCTAGCACCCCCCCCCCATTCCCTTGGTGTGGGAAGAATATCTTACAAGCTGGTCCCTTGCTCCCTGTAATGTGCACAGAGTAGGGAGTCCTTGTACACACTGTAATCCACCGATCATGGCTGCCTGGTATCCAGTGCAGAAAAAGATTCTGCAAAGTGATACTCAATTAGTAATGTCTGCATTGCCATAAGGGTGAAGAATGGAATGCCCTTTGTATTTATCAGCAACCTTTATTTTATAACCCCCCAGGAGGCATAGAAATTATTTTAATTCTCTGTGTCAATGTACCTAACATATGTCACAAGTCATTGGTGATGACTGTAAAGAATACTTATGTAGAAATAGAAGACTTTCGCCAGTTAACTGAAATCTGACGCTCTGTTCTCTGTGAGCACACTCATCACCTTGTCAGAGAATAAGCAGCTCAGTTCACAAAGACTTCCCTACACTAAAACTCCTTGAACAGTCTAAAGCACCATCGTAAATATTAGACACCAAATTGTCAAAATAAATGAAGGGGGAAGTTTTGCGGTGTGGCAAATTCTTGTCTTCTACTGTTAAATCATGTTTATTTGCTTACTTGTGATTCACTGGCTCTCCCCAGCATCCAGGATGCTACTGAGTACAACCGGACACAGGCAGAGGAGGGAGCACCATGATGAGCAAGTGAATGATAAACATTTTATTGGTGTTCCCAACATCCATCTCACTCACTCAAGTCGTGTGTCCTTCATCCACTGTGCCCAGCCTCTCTTCCCCCTGAGAAGCATGCATCATGATGTGCCAGCCTCATAATTCTGAGAACGCAAAAAACTAGTTTCCCAGGAAGCAATAAACATGCCAGGGATGATCGTGGAGTCTTACGGAAGCCCGGCTTGGAGAGATGAGTCACAGGATCTAAATTCCACCCTGTCACCGTAAGCTATGTAATCACACATCAAGAGAAACAGGAGCTGAGCCTTTATCAGATGCACCGCCAGACACCTGTGCCAGGCACAGCTGGGAAAGAAGGGCAAGATTCTCAGTAATCTACCGAATTCCCCAGAATGTTCTCCCTGTGATGAGGTCCATCCCCAAGGCTGGGAAATAGGTGTGGAGGAACAAATGAGAGTATCTGTGGCCACCAGTAGTTACGCTAGCCGCCAGAAACCTAGCAGAAGTTGGGCTGCAGGAGTGGCTGCACAGGATGGTACAGGAGGCTCAATGTGTGTTGAGGGGCGACGAAGTTTGGAAAGATTTTCTGATTCACAGGTTTGTCATTATTCTTTTATTCTTTTATGTTTTTATTATGATGAAATGTATAAAACACACTGTCATGATTTTCAAGGGCACAACTCAGTGGCATTAATTACACACACAGGCTTGTACAACCTCCACTGCTCTCTAGTACCAGAACAGTCTCAACATCCCAAACAGAACTTCTGTTCCCACCAAATAATAACTCTTTGGTGGCTCTTGGTAAGAGCTCATTTCTTTTCTGTTTTTATACATTTGGCTATTCTAGATGTTGCATTGCATGGGTGTGGATTCATAGATTGGTCCTGATTTGACTTCACATAATTACTTCCATGGTCCATTCTTATGGAGTGTCTATCAGAATTTTTCCTCTTTTGCCACTGAATGGTATCTGTTGCAGTGTACAGGAGGACCACACTTGCTATAGGAGAAGTAGGCTGGGAGTCCTGCCTCTCTTTGATTATGGCTTGCAGCTGGAAGATCAAATGTAAGGAGAACTTGGGTCTCTGGGTCAGGCATATCTTTAAACCTTCGTTCGCTTTATAGAGGTGTAAAAATGGGGAATTTGGTCCAGCTCCCTTCTGATGTCCTCAGCAGCTTCAAAATCTCCATTCCAAGCCTGAACTCATTCAGGAAAGTTCTAGGTGATGTTCATTCTGAGTTGACATATTCTCAGTTTACAATATCCTAGTGCATGGTAAAATCTATTCACAGAGATTTTGCCTGTCATCGTCTCCATCATCCCTCCTTCTCTCCTCCTCTTCCTCATCTTCTCCTCCTCCTCCCTACCTCCCCCCTCTCCTTCCTTTCTTTTTTCTTCCCCTGCCTCTTTCTCCTAAGCTTCCTTTTCCTTCTTGGTGGCAGTGGGAGTTGAACCCAGGATCCTCCCACACCGAGCTACATCCATAGCTGTTTTCCATAGTTTGTTTGTTTGTTTGTTTGTTTGTTTGTTTGTTTGAAACAGGGTCTCACTATGTTGTGACATAGTGACAACCCTGGCTGTCCTGGAACTCACTATGTAGACCAGGCTGACCTCCAACTCAGAAATCTGCTTCCCTCTGCCTCTCAAGTGCTGGGATTAAACACCACCATGCCCAGAGCTGTTTTACTTTTAGTGAACAACCTCTTCTGTAATTACACCGCACAGTCTGTCTTTCTACACTGGTGAGTTTAGTTCTGTGCTCTAGTCACTGTCTCTGAGAATGTTAAGAAGTGTCTGTCTCTCTTATACACCTTTGTACCACACCTGGTAATTAATGATCTTAATGATTGTTTCTCAATGTGGTCCATGGTTTCAAAGTCCCCTGGGAGCCTTACAGAATGCAGATTATT